ATTTTCGTGGAAAATTTTTTGATAATCCTCGATCATGATTGGCTGATTTTGGGGTCAAAACAAATCGGCCGATATGTCCAATTTTATATTGCCAATTTTAATTCTCGAGTGATATAAGCCACTCACATGATCCGTGCCTCAAAAAACTTTCGACTTGTTACACACGAAAAATGGCTGTGTGACTGCATATCTTCACATATGTATTTATTTTTCACTGACATGAATAAAAGTCATAATAATAATAACAATAATACGTAATAAGTCGTGGATAAAAAAAAATATGTGCAAGGTATCCGCAAACAACCGTGCCTCTTCAAAATATGGTTCCGTGATTAGCCGTGTATAAGTGAATTAGTTATAAATTTTTAAATTATATCATTTATATCATACGTACCAGATACATAATGTACAAGAAATCTTGGTAACGTAAAAATTTAATAAAACGAAAAAATTTTATTCAAAAAGAAATTATTACTAGTTCTATTACTGGTATTTTTCCAGTTTTACTTTTTATAAAGTTAGTAAAAAAAAATTTTTTTTTAAAATACTTGTTATCGTTCTTGATAAATAAATTAAATAAATTAATAACTATATAAATTTATATTAAAGCGATTGGCCGAGTGTTTATCATTGATAATTTTGATATTGTTTTACTATTTTCTTTTTGTGTTTATTATAAAAAAATAATATATTTGTCGATTTTCTCCTTTTTCTGGTGGTTTCAATAGCTACCCCTGATACTTTTTTGTTTTACAATAAAATTATATGCTCATTGATATTTGACTTTGACTTACTATCAAATGAAATATAATAACAATTTTAGTAGTACAATTCCTGTTTTGTTTCCTGCCGGAGATTGATTTTTTGGCATTCGTTGGACAGAGCCACAAGGATAACCAATCTTAACATAAATATAAAATACACCTTTGTTTGGCCTTTTTTTTTTTCCTTTAGAAAAAAATTTCTCAAGTGGCCTAAATCCTCCCACTATCTCCTCTTTTTTTCACGCATTTTTATATATAAAAAAAAAAAATATATACATAAAAAATTCGACGGGGAATTTTTTTTAAATTTCATTTTATTATTATATCTTATTATAATATCATATATATATATATTATTCTCTAGAAGAAAACGAAACGTAGAAAATGTCTCCAAGAGATATATACGAGGAAAATATTGCTAGACTTCCGAAAGCTTTACGGCCTCTTGCACAATTTATGGTTACACCGCTGGTAGATCCAAGAAAACAACAAGAGTCAATACTTTCAAATCCATTTGCTTTATTTACTTTTCTTACAAAGAAAAAAGTCCAACCAAAAGTTTTTATGTCCTTTAAAAACTTTAATGATATTCCAATTGAATTTCTTGCAATGATTTGTAAACACCTTGAACCAAATGAGCTTTTTGTCCTATCAGGAGTATGCAAAAATTTAAGAACTCTTTTGTTGGATACTGAATCTCCAGCTACACAAGAAATTTGGAGGAATTCACGACTTGAGTATTGCCCATTTTTACAACTTTCTCCTCCCAAAGGAATGCAGGTTTGTATCATTTTTAATAATTTCAATGAAATTTCAATGAAATTTAAATATTCTCGTCGGTAACTAACAAACTCTTTTAAAAATTTAGGAGCAAGAATACATTTCTCTTTGTTCGACGGAGAGAGGTTGTCAATTTTGTGGCCAAAGAAAACAATGGGTAAAAGTTTATTGGCAATTTAGAGTCCGTGCTTGTTATGAATGTTACCTACCAAGATTTGTCCGGTAAATAATGTTAATCATTTTACTCCTTACATCATGTTTATGTGTTTATGTTTATGTATACGTTTACTAATTTATTTATTTTATTTTATTTATTTTATATTAAATCTTTTTAGAAATTCATATCTAAGCAAGTGCCCAAAAAATTTCGAAAATAAAGAGGAGATCAAATTGCGTGAACATTATGACCGTCGAAGATTAGAACACACAATCAGCTTTAGAAAAGAACGACTCCAAGAGATAATCGAAGAATTTGAAGCCGAACGAAAAGAATCATCAGATGGTTCAGACAATGAAAGTATTCATTCAAACTCTTCAAATTCGTCACCAAAATATGATGCACAACTTCTTAGAAAATGTCCGATAATCTCTGCTGAATGGAAAATGTTTGACCAACCTTTTACAAGCCGCGACCAAACAAGATTCCGAAGAAAGCTTGATTATGAGTATCAAATCTTGGCAAAACATTATGTTTCATAATTTTATTTTTTATAAACTTTAAAAATCAAAAAAAAAAAAGAAAAAAAAAAAGAAAAAAATTTTTACATTTATTTTTTATTATTCCCCCCCCCTTTAAGTTTCTTTTATAAGATGCAAGCCATCGCCCACAAAAAAAAAAAAAAAAAAGAAAAAAAAAGAAAAAATTGTGGACGTTGTAATTTCAAAAAGACATTTTGTTTTGTGAATGTTCATACAATAATTCTGCAACGCATCGTCCTTAGACCACTTCATATAATTTCAGTATTATATATAGCATATAATGTATACATTATAATTATTTTTTTTTTTTAAATTTGGGAAGGTTTTCGTTATATATTTCATTTTTTTTAGTGACGCGCATTTTGTTGACTCTTTGGTTCATTTGGTTTTTTTTTTTCGCTTCCCTATATTCATATTATACATTTATATTATACTATAAAGGAGAACGTGTGGTTTATTCAATACATTTTTTTTTTACACTTTCTTGTTAAATAGTTTTTTTTCTTTTTATTTTTTTTATATATTGTATCATTTTTTTTTCGAATTATGGTATAAATAATTTTCTGTAACATAAATCATTATTCGTAGCTATTTTGTTGCGTATAATCAAAAAAATGTTTATCTATGCCATGATTTTAAAAAAAAAAAAAAAAAAAAAGGAAAAAAATTTTTTCTTTTTTTTTTTTTTGTGGGGTCGGTCGTTTGCGTCGCTATACGTATTTTTTTTCTAATAAAATAAGAAGTTGCTTCGTCATTACTGCTATCATTGCCTCTTTTTTTCATTTGCCATTTTTAGCTAGTTGTTTTGAAAAAGCCTAAAGTCCCAAATATATTTAAATAAACGACTTCCTTTCAACGTGTGAATATATTGAAAATGTATTTGAAATTTATTGAGAAAAAAAAAAAAAAAGAAAATTACAAAAGTTACCGTAAAGCCATGTATGTGTGAACTATGGTAAACCTGTTTTGACCGTAACCGTGCGAAATGCAATGTATGCGCATATGCCGCCTTGCAGTTATTACGGTTTATAAAAAATATGCGACTGCAAGAAACACAAAGTAATAGCGGTAGGCTTTTGTTTTTGTGTTATGTTAACCATTTTTCGAAATTAAGAAAGCAGGCGTTATCAAAATGCAAATAATTGCATAAGTTTGCATAGGGTTCATGTCAACTTTTATTCGTTGGGTATTATAATGTTCCATAGGGACCTTCTTAATAATTTTACCATAATAAGTCATGTATATATTTTTAAGTATAAATGTGTTCGTGCATGCATAAAGATTGTAACAATTTTTGGGGGGCTAAGGAGGTTAGGGTACCAAGGTACCAAAGTACAAACGAACGAAATCTTTCTTTGATCATCGTGTAATGTTCGTTACGCATGAAAAAAAAAAAACAATTAAAGAATTTGAAACAACGAAATAATTTGATAGGTTTTTTTTTGTTCTAATGTTATCTAACGTTAAGCTTAATTTTTTTGAACACTTTTTTTATTGAAACATTCTCTTATGTATTAACCTTATTTTTTTTTTTTCTCAAGATAATCGAAAGATGTATGAACCACTAACGTACTATTTACACTATTTACGTATATATGTGTACTTGGTTGAGTACATAACATAAATGAGTACATAAGTACATAAAACGTATACTCAAGTCAATCATCACCCCCATAGTTTAGTTAAATCATTCTAACTATTAATCATGTTATGCTAGTCTAAACGCAATTAATATATCTCCGGATGCATGAAGATGAAATGTTTTCTTTCATCTATCATTAAGTTTCTATCAACGAACCTTTTTTGTATAATAAATCCAATTTATATTTGATTTATTTGATTTATTTGATATATTTTATGCGTTATATAAAAAGATTTACAGGAATTTAAACTATTTTTTCTATTGTTATCATAATACAAGTTGGAATTCTATTAATCAATTAATTATTCATTTGTTATTTATTCAAACATTTCGTAATAAAATAGTGCCTCTTTTTTTTCTTTGAGAAAGTACCCAGGAAATGGGTCCCGAGTTGACCATGGTTCGATTTTGTTGTACAAAATTGGTATTTTGTCGCTATCATCCAGCTTTCTAACAAGTTTACCGCTTAAATGAGAAATGATTACTGTATCTGTGTTTAAAATCGGAGTTGTACTGAGTTGTACTGAAGTTGTACCGAGTTATATTTTTAGAAATTTATACGACTTTCTCGCGGCCGAGAAATTATTATTGAGAGGGAAAAAGTCAGATGTTGACGTTTTTGATGTTTGAACAACGATAAAGTATTTCAAAAAATAAATATTTTTAATAATCATTTATAAATTAGGTATTTAAAATAAGCATTTATTGTATTTCTAATAATCATTATAAATTAAGGTATTTAAAATAAGCATTTACTATCTTTTAGGATAAGCATATCGCTTATCTACAATAACTCAATACGATTCGTTGCCAAAATAAACTCTAATCATTATCATTACCAAATAAACTTTATCATCATATCACAAACTTAATCATAAGCACAAAAATAACCACTGCTGACGCCTATCTGATCTAATCACCTTTTTTTGCTTACCGGTATCTTTTTTTGTAAAAATGGCTTTCCACGACCTGACTATTAACTCGGTTCTTAGTTTTTTTTATTGTTCTTGACAATCTAAAGATCACGAGAAAAAAATATCTATTGATAGATGTGATTAAATTTTAATCATTTCAATAATTTCATGTGACATATTTGATAAAATCACATTACGCGTAGGATTATCAATCAACGCACGATCCAACAATTTTGAGTAGACGCTTCTGGTACGTACAGTACATACATACGTCATTTCTTGGTTTGTCTGTACGTAACGATAAGTAGTTGATTAACTATTAGTAATTAAGCGTAAAATTATAAAACAGGATTCTTCTTGTTTAATCGCAAGGAGGTTAGCTCGAGTTTCAAACAATTAGTTAATCGAGGTTAATTCTTGAATTCGTGAGAATACATCACCGTTTTTTCTAAAAAAAATAACATTTCTTCTTTTATGGATTAAATCGGCAGAACTCCACGTAGCATTGTATTTTAATGCTTTTTTTTTTTATCATTATTAAGTCAATAATTACTATTTAGAAAGTTATTGATGTCATTAATTAATAAAGAT